GGAATGGGCAATGCCACGCGTACCAAAGGGACTCCGCGCTCATCGCACAAACACACAGCTCTCATCCGATAGAATATTTATTTAATAATTTAAAAACTCATTTTCCACTTTCAGCGATCCATCAACCGTTGGATCGTCTGTTTGCATCGTGATCTTTATCGAATCCAATGTGCAAACAACAACGACGGGAAAAAATGAATGCTTGTGAAATGAAACGTTATTGGATTACTTTAACGAACTTCGCTGCGTATTTTTTTTTTGTTCATTCATTTCGTGGCGCAAACGAGGCGATGATGAGATAAGTGCATGGGAAAATATGTCAAGAAACACGAAAGCAATTAAAATTCAAACGGAAAACTTTCTGAAAATGACAGAAAAAATATGAGATGGAGCGCTTTTATTTGAAGAACGATAAAATTCGCACAATTTCTTGCTTCAACTATTCTTGGCCGCTTATTTTTTTAAATGATAATTGCATCAAATGATGAAGTTATGGTACAAAAGTACTCCGTCATTTGGCGCTTGCAATGCGAGTGTTTTCTTTGGTTCACTTGAAATTTGTCATATAAACCATGTGTCGCACCGGCAGTGTGGGATGGAAAATGACTCCATATCAATTAAATGTAAAAAGCTGTATTATTTTCAGTCTGAAAATCAACAGAAATCCTGTGGAGTTTCTTTGCAAATGGCGCACATTTCATGCGGTTCAAGTGAATGGAAGTGAAAATTACGTTCTCTGATTAATTCAATTAACAAACCACATCGGTAACAACAGGATGGAAATTAGTTGATATTTTACACTTTTGTTCGTTGGCGAATCACTCATCAGGTATATAATTTTCCCACAAAACGTACCGATGCTGATTTTCATTTGTTTCCACGCTGAATCCTGTTTCTTTGTTCAATTTGGAAATCATTTGCTTCCCAAAAATGGGATATTAAACGAGAGAGATTAGCTACTACGCATGTTCTGTGCTGCAGACGCTACAGCAGCTGAAATCTATTCACGAATTTTTAATGTAATGTACGTTTTTCATGATTATGAAGAGCTCTTTTGTTTCGCAAAACTCAATAACCATTTTGGTCTGACTAGACGGCATTTGGTTCTAATTAAAGAGCGTTCGCACTTTTGACGCAAACATCAATCGGTCGTCGGAGTCAAATGAGTACACAATTTCAAGTATATCCAATCCATCCAGAATGTGCTTGTGCACCTTCGCACCTTCGCACATTCCCATTCCCATTCCCAATGGTATTGAAACTGACAGACGCGTGGCGCACAAGTACATTAACTTTTCGCATATATTGTCTTGTTTAATTTTTAATATCAACACCGCAAAAACCATGTGCACAATGACTGCGGCGTTGAATTTTCATCATACGTATGTGTACATTGCACACGGACAGAAATGCCCCAAAATGACAGAAAAAAAATGTGATGAGTAAAAATGTTCAAATACTCAATGACATGCAATAAAAAGAGAAAAAAAGAACGAATGAAAACCATAACCACATTAGCGTTGTGAAAAAAATGTGCTCAAACTGGTTCCGCTCACGCCTTCACACAACACTTTTTAATACAATGAAATGTCATAAGCGCATATTTTGCAGAGAAAGTTTTGCAAATTAATTTTCAACGGGGCGCTTTGAGCTCTGATGGCCGAGGTACACCAACTCCGATGTTCGGTTCGATGATAATGAACAATGGCATCACATCACCTTTGCACACGAAGCGAACCGAATTTCACACAATCATGTTTCATCGACAGCTGTTTGGTTTGTGGCATTTTAAGCACAGTTTCGGTCGGATGGTTTATTAAACACGGAAAATTGAATGCGACGCCAACCGAAATGTTATCATCACTAAATCAACATTAAATATTTGTTCAAGTTTTGACACAGCATGAAAAATTGGCAATGTTCAAATTAATACACCGACATTCGGCTCATTCATGCACAAACAAACACTCGTTTACTTTGATGATTTACCACATCGAAAAAGTACTTTCCATCTGTTTACGAATAATCAAAATGTTTTCCATTATTTACATGATTTCACGTTCGCTTGGTTTTCAATTACATTTCGAATTAATGGAGTTCACGACACAAAGTTTTATTTTCAATTTGAACCACATGCAACCAGCAACGAAAAGCTTATTTGCCCAACTACACCGTTATCTATTTCGTATTAAAGCGATCATTGCGCATCATAAGAAAAACATGAAAGAAAATTAGAATAATGGCCCAACTGATACACTCGGTGTGGTGAACCACATTTATTTCCTAGGAAATACCCTTATCTTTCCATCTTTTCATATTTTTGATGATTTTTTTCCCTCCCATTTCGTGTTGATCCCATTTTTATTCCTGAACACACACAAAAATGAATTGCCAATCATTTTTCTAGGGTTCGGTAAAAGGTAGCCTTAAGTCACGTGTAACAAACATTACAGGCGAGACTCGATTTACTGAATTTCCCCGTTGAAACATGCTGTTGAATGCTATCTTATCAATAGATTAAAAGCGAGTTTATCACATCAATATGGAGCCGAACAATATTGCCAATTTTCCCTAATTATTGCTGCGAGTTCGTGTTTTTGAGAGAATCTGAGGAAATCTTGTTTGATTCTTTTTCCGCTTCGAAAAATGCCAAAAGGAATCGAATTAAATTGACTTGTTCTGCTAGTCGAGCTGTCAAGCTTGAAGCCTGGCGTATTTAAGAGTGTATTTTTTCCCAAATGGTGCGTTCATAATGTTTTGTTTGATCGATGAGCTTTGTGGATAATCATATTTGAAATTTTGTCTCCGATTCGACCACTGTGTAATTGAAATGAAGCTCCGATCTGTATCGGATACTATCATGTGACTGTAGATAGGCTTTTTTTTCTCATTTCACCAAGGATAATTTATCAATCATCCTATCAACAGAACGTGCACCAGACAGTGGATAATTTGATTGGAATATTTTTTCAGGCCAAATTCTATAATAACATTTACGAAGTCCATTCGATTTCAAGGTTAAGCAGTGGAGATAAGGTATCAGAAGTCGAATGGAAAAAAAACCAAACCTTTTTTCTTGAACTTCAAACGAAAATCGAACTGAAAAACATATCCGGCGGATATTGTTCGCAGAATCGCAGCTTCACTTCTTTTCAAATTCAATGATTGCCTGATGGTCGAAATTTTGGCAATGAACCATTAATCCTATTTCAAAAATGAAACTACAAAATGGGAAAATATGGTTCACACTCATACATTTATCGTCCTTGATATGGAATTCAAGTAGGGCAATCCAACGATTAACAAGGATAAAAGAGTTTTATCAATTAAAACTTGATATAAATTTAATTAATATACTTGGTCATTTGTTCCAGTCAAACAAACGAATTTAATCACACTATTTTCCGACCATTTCGCCAAAAGAAAGAACAATTTAACTGGTTTTGTTTGTAGAACTAATTGAAAAATCACTTCAATTGATCCGTTTCACTGGAAACATAATATCACAAAGGATGGAATCCATGAAAATTTGAACATGCTTTTTGGTGTGTGGTAAAGAGAAAAGTTTTTATTACAAAGGATTTGCTGCGCGTTTGAAATACATTTTTTTCTGTTCCGCAAATATTTTTCCGCTTTGTAAATAAAATGCCCGAAATTGTGATGTGTAGGCGTCGAAAAAAGAAGCGAAAGAAAAAAGAGAGAGAAAAAAAAAATTACGTGCTTATGAACCATAAAATTTCATCAGCGATAACATTGCACGCAGCATAAAAGTGAGCTGGCGTTGAGTTTTTGGCCGTTCATGTTAATATTTCACGTATCCATTATGTCACCGAATAAATTTCGATGAAATCTCTCGCTCACTGGTTGTGTGTCGTTGTTTTTCTTTCAATGTCGATGAATGTGTTGCCCTGCACAGAGAGCAGAAGCAGAGAATGCAAAGAACATGATTGTGCATTTCCTCAGCACTCATAGGGGATGAGAGAGAGAGTATGTACGTTGTTTTGTATGTGATTTATAGGTGTTTGTGTTACAAATTACAACTCCAGTTTATTAAGATGAACAAATGACTCGACAAAACGGTTAAATTATTTATAGCAAAGGCATCAGCGGTTGGCTGTAGGCGCATAAATTTATTCGGGCTTTTGTTCGCAACTAGTTAGAGTTTTTCATTCACTAATGGCCATCAAAATAATTTGATCGTATTTCACATTGAGGTGCGTAAGAATATAATCCATGTTTATTAGGCACAAACTAACCGCTCGCTGTGTTGAAATCTACTTTTTTCAGTCGATTGAGTCATTTATCCATCCATTACTTTGTGAATGGTTAATTTATTGCCTTCAATTTGATGTAAACGCGTGGAATAGACCAGCCACCGTTCGCTTTTGTTTCGAGATGATGCAGATATAAAGTGACAAATAATGATTTACTTGATGGAACAAGTTCGAATCTTGTTTTTGTTTGACTTCCTATAAATTTGTTGAGTATATCACATCACAGTCATCAATCGCTCTTGCAATCAAAGCACACACACACGCACACACATATCAAACATCTTGATAAAACTTTGCGAAATACTAACGACTTCACATGTGAGGAACGCCAATCTAGACTATTAAGTGTATGGTGAAAACTTCGACAGCAGCAGCAGCAGCAACAGCAGCCACAAAACTCAGAATCGACAAACTTTATGGGCGAAAGAAAGATCGGATGTACTGATTTCTTGAGAAAATTCATTCAGTTCCATTCACATTAGTCAGGTATACGTAAAAAGTGTGGTTTTATACCATATGAACACGTCTGACTTCAATCTTCTTCTGACATAAAACCTTTGCCAAAAATCCACTCGTACACAATGAGCGATTAAATCGGGCATCTGGTTTCGATATAAATTCGCACAATGTGAACGAAGAATTACCAAGAGGATTTACTTTGGAACTGTACTCTCTGTTCCCGAATGTGAACAAAAAATGTTGGCATTTCCAAATGAAAAGCCTTACCACAACAGATATGTCGGTGTTCAATGTGTGATAAATAATTTTCATGGTCGGGCTATGATGGTCAAACGCAACGAAATTCTATGTTTTTCACTTGGAATTTGAGCACAATTTTACTTTATTTGTTTTCACCACGATCCGTTATTTTTTGATTAAAACTTGAACACCCAAAGCACCAAAAGTTAATTTTTATTCGGTCAATTTCTTTATTATTCCAATTGTTTCCGTCCATTAATTTTCTATTTGCAAACACATTTCATTATTATTCAATGATTGCTTGAACAAAAGTTTTGATTTTAATCTGTTGAACTGTTCACAAATAAAAATAAAAAATCAAAAGTACTTAGAATCGAACTTTTGAATAAAATATACGCACATAGCCCGTCACGATGACAAGTAAATCCATCGGTTGCTAGCTGAATGAAAGTTTCCTCGAGACTGATGCGGATTGGGGTGAATGCATGCGAATAAATACCAAAAAATACCAACAGCAATTCGGTTGACTTCGTGCATCCGGAGAAGAATCGAAAGCTTTTATACACACACCTGCTGCTACTGCTGCTGCTTTACCCCAAATGAAATGTGGATGCATGCCAAATACTTGCTGCGGCGCACACCATAAGCTGTTGAATGGAACGCAGGCCGTATGGTCGTGTGCGCCTTTGACGTCGCGCTGTCTGCACTTGTTGCGCTAACGGGAATCAGCGTATTCGACACTGTACTCTCACGCTTGATTCGCCTGGTATACGCATTGTAAATAATGAATGTCTCGCGTACACACGGCACGCCATGTGCTTCGCAAAACAACCACACTGTGATTTTTTTTATTGCCATGTACAATACGATGAGGGGCAATGTTGAATGGAAATTGAAACTATGGCTCTGGCAGCTTAATACAATTTAAACGCATGCTGCAAGGATATTATATTAATAATATTCAATCCAATAACGTCACTAACATGAATATTCAATCCCATAATTTGCGTCTTTATCTACGATAATGAGATGCAACTCTCTGATACTGATTTAAATGCATGACATTTCAAAGCGAGATATTCATATTTCAAATCGGTATTTATGAAGAAGAATATATGGTGGTGAAGAAAATGTTATCGTTTCTCTTTGACAAAATAAAACGGCAGACATTTAATAAACATTCAACTATAAAAAAAGATGAATATGGATCAAAATCGATAGCTAAAATGATTTTGGAAAATCCAAAGATGAATTATTTCGACCAGACTGAGAAGTGATGCACCGAAAAATAGTCCGACTATGCTACCGATGGTGACGACTAAGTCAAGGTTTATAACGGTCACCGAGCGAATCAATTGTTTCGGCTGGTTGTTTATTTCAATTGTCACTCCCGTAAAACCCGACGCCATATCAAAATTGTTGACTGACTTTTCTGGCTCAGCTTTTAATGCTCAATAAAACTGTTGTTTACATAATCTGAACAAATAGTGTATGATGGCAAACTGTATGCCCAATTATGATTGTCTATTTCCACAGTAAAGACGAATGGATCACTTATGAATCGCGATAATTGATTCATGCAAATGGAAAATGCAAAATAAGTGAACAACAAAACCAATGTTAGCCAGCCGACTCTGTAACGAAATCAAAACTGCATTCTCCATTTAGTAGAAATTGTAGAAATGTAAACTGAAACCTTTCAAGTGTGGTATAATTTCTGTTGGCAATGTGATTGAATCCATGGATATTTGTTTCTTCGCTAAATTTTTGTAAGGAAAGTATCATTTTTTTCAAAATATTGGTAAATCTTCTTGTTATTTTATTAATGAGAATTCGAAAATCAATTTATAAAATTAAAATGGTATACTATGAATTTACAGATTTACTGAGCGCCAACTCAATTTTTCGAACAAACAAAAAATATTCTTATATAAATTTTGAATTTATTATCTTGATGAGCATTTGAATTTTGAAAAAATGTATAACGTCAATAGTTTATCCAGACCGATTCCAGAGAATGTGCCTTTAAATGAACTTTTTTCAAATATCACTTTGCTGACATTGTCCTTGTTCCACGGACCACTTCGTAGTTTTACTTTTGATGAATTTTTTTTTGAACAACTTTAAAATGCGCGGACGCATTACAAATAGAATGAATAAAAAAAATCCATGGGCTGCAATCAGGATATCATTATAGAAGAAAACAATATGACTTGAATCTATACAGGCTTTGAATGCTCCCACAAATCCTTCTACGCCCATCAGAATGAAGATGCGCAAATACAAAAAGAAGCTGCAATCGTTCAAGAAGTTAGTTTAGTTTTGAATAACGACGACATTTTAACACATCCGTTACCTGTCTGAGTTGTTCTTCATAGACTGCTGAACGCGACTGCTTTCCTCTTGTGATAGAACCACTTTGATTTTTTTCTTTTCACAATAAATTCGGACCGCGGTGAAAATAAAAAGCAAAATATTTGCAGCCCATAAAATTATGATTGGCAAAAAATAAAGCGACAGTTCAATTCTCGTAAACTTTTCTGAAATTGAGATAGAACAAGTTAGAACATATAGTTGAATTCGTGGTATTTATTGTTATTTCATCTGTACTTACTTTTAGTAGAGTCAGTACGAAGGTCAACATTTTGATAGTAATCTATAATTGATCCGAAAGGTTTGGTGACTTGAATAACGATGATTAATAACAGCAATGGTAAGCCAAAAGCGTAAATTGCACTCAAAATAAGTTGAATTCTCTCCGAACATATAGGCGATCTGATCCTTGATCTAAAATAAATCAAAATGTGACCAATGCGGAAAAACCACTCAACATTCGAAAAGCTTACTTAAAACTTTGATATAAATCGATACATATGACATTCAGCCATGTAAAAGTCGATAATGTTGAATAATACATGAGACACGCAAAAAATTCCCGAGTCGCAAACGGCACATAATTCCATTCACTGAATCTTATCCACGGATATGTTGTAAATACGCAAATCAAGCACAATAAATAACAAGCAAAGCACTTTCCATGGAAATTCAGTAGTTCAGGCAGACTTATGTAGACGATAAATGTTATAGTCATGAAAAAGGCCGACACAAGCATCACTACAGAGCAAAACAAAAAACCTTAAAAAGTTACGGAAAAATGGGAAATTTTGAAATAATATGGAATACTCACTGAATAGTTTGATTAAATTGAATTCAAATTGTTTTGGTTGATCCATGCACATCATCAACTGTAAATTCGGTTTATCAGCGGTGACTTTGAGACAATATTCATTATATTTCTTTTCGCCAAATCTATTTGAAATGTATCCATTCTGAAATATATACAAGTATGTCAATTTCCATTGTGTTTTTGGATTGAATTAAATGAGATACTTTGTGTATTCTGAAGTCGCCCTTTGCGAGTGAATGAAGTTTACATGTCCGATCGATAAATGCAAAATGTTCGTCCAAATTTACAATCTTCGTTTTATTGTTTTCAGTAATGATTTCGCTTTCGATATGTTTCGCTGTCTCGTTTTCATGGCATTTTATGCCATTTCCAGTGTTCATTTCATCCACAAATGATCCATACGGGCAACAAAGCCGAACACATGCTCTAATGTTACATAGACAACCGCGATTATAGGGCTTCACTTTCACGGGCTTCGTACCATTTAAGATGTAATTCAGCTCAACATATTGTTCAGGTGGATATTCTATTCCCATGAATGTAATACTTTGATTCACGTGATGCACTCCGTCTGTGATGTTAATCGAATCGTAGAAATGACACGGCAATTCCCTTCCCAGAAGAAAAGAAGCATTGTTTAACTTCAAAACCACTGACACAATTAACCACAGCCTCAACGTGAAAATGGATTTTGGACCGCTTCCACTGTTATGAGACATTGTTTTGTATAATTTTATGCAAATGTTATGAAGAAATTTATTTCATGTTTTTTCTTAGTCTTTTGTGGTAAAATCCCAATATTTTGTAGAAAATCTTCACGATTTGTGCTGTTCTTTTGCTCTTCAAATCAGAATTATAGTTTATAATGACCTCTGAGCACATACTGATTCCTAGACTGACCCGAAATCGATTTTTATAAATGTTCAAACAAGTATTTCCCCAATAACATCAGGCTTATCAGGCGTTATCATCATTCCAGATATGTATGAATGATATTTCATATACGACCGGCTGCTAAAAGCTTGAGTAACAGAGAAGCATTTGAATATGATAAGACGTTGCCGCTATTATCTGAATCACACATAAACTTAAAAGATGAATTCTCTATCGATCATTACGATGAAATATTTTTGCAAGTTGTTGGGGAGGCCACACCAGTTGGAACAAATCGTGGAAAAAATTTTTCGTTATTTTCTTCAAAATTGTTTGTTGTTGATAACTAAAATGAAATCATTTTCTGATAAAACTAACGAAAATGTTTCTTATTTTGATGCTGTAGAATTGAAGAAGGAAATGATTAAAGCGTGACTCAACAGAGAACTGTGGAATAGACGAAATGAACGGGAATTCCTTATATTGTAAAAACGACAGCAACGAATGTTATCAGCGATATTTTGTAACATAAAATTGAGCATTACGAATAGATGTAGTCGAATGTTTCTTTTTTGACGAAATATGATGAATATGAGACGCACGTGAGCAAGTATCACACGATAATATCGCCATATCTGCCTCATGCGATATAGAAAATATGCGTTTTGGACACATTGAACAATTTTGTGAGTAAACTGTATGTTTAATTTCATATCTCAATGGCAATGAGACAACTCAGTAAAATATACTGTAACAAACACAATCTGTGTTTTAGGACATTTTTAGGTTTTTTAGGATGTTTTTTGTATTTTTTTTCCTAGGGGCTAGGAACAAGTTGTGTCATTCGTATGTATTCGCATACGTTCGTGGCTTTGTTATTGTTGTTGTACACTCACTGCGCTGCAAATGTCTCGTATACACAATCTACAAGAATTCACGAAAATTCGTACGAATTCGTCTCAAGCGCTTGTGTTCTTACCCCCTAGTATTTTTCAGACGAAATTAGGGTCTTTTAGGTCGATATTTGTATTTTTTATGTGATATTTAGGATGATTTTCGTAATTTATAGGACAATATTTGGGTTTTTAGGACGTTTTTTGTTTAACCCTCTAAGCATCAGACATGTTCTCGTAACTTTCACTGGCCACTCCTGCAAGAAAACAATAGAACAACCGATTCGATGCACCCACGGAAAGAGCTACCAAAACGATTAAAATTTCAAAGCCCAAGTGCCTGACTAGGGGAATATCACGCTTAAATTATTTCAAATATTTCAAAAAAATCCAATTTATCTCTAAGAATCTGTCGTATGAAATATGGTGGATATTTGTGAATACGGCGGAATATTGTGGATTTTTGTGATTATGAATGATATTTAAATGTATTTATTCGGATTTAATGCAAAAAATCTCAAATATCTCCAAAGTCCACAAAAATCTGATTTATTTATTCGAAATATTCGAAAATATTTCATACAATTGATGTTTATTTCAAATATCTCAAATATCTCACAAGATTCAGGAGCGTGATATTCCCCTAGGTGCCTGAGTTGCTGTAAACAAAAGAGTTTAAATGAATACATCATTTGACAAGCTAATGAAAATGTGTTTTGGAATAAAATAGTCATTGTAGCATTAATCATGCACAACAGAACGAAAAAAACGAAACACAAAAATGCAGAGGGTGGAGAATGATAATGTAAAGAAGAAAAGAAGCCAATAAGAAGTTGTAAAAATGTATAATTACCAGATCCATTAACAAAAATGCCACATGCCAATGTAAAGGTGTCAAAAGGACGGACAGCGGACGGACATTTCGTGTCCGTCCATCCGTTTTGGGGTTCAAGGACGGACATTTCATTTTGTCCGTCCGTTTAGAATTCAAGGACGGACAATTTCATTTTGTCCGTCCGTTTTGGGGTTCAAGGACGGACATTTCGTTTTGTCCGTCCGTTTAGAATTCAAGGACGGACAATTTCATTTTGTCCGTCCGTTTCGAATTTCAGGACGGACAATTTAATTTTGTCCGTCCGTTTAGAATTCCAGGACGGACAAATTCATTTTGTCCGTCCGTTTAGAATTCAAGGACGGACAAAATGAAATTGTCCGTCCGTTTGGGATTTAGGACGGACGGACGGACATATTTTTAGGACGGACGGACAAAATATATCAAACGGACGGAAACGGACAATTTTTAAACGGACGGACAAAAATTTGTCCATCCTATCAATGATTGGTGTTCGTTATCACATTAGGAGACCATACGATTGCTCATGAAAGAATAAGAAAAAATGAACCACAGTGATCGAATAGAAAAAGAAGAGGAAAAAATTAAATATTTCATTTGATGCAATAGAAAATTTATCTCGATTCACCAAGTCACGAAACGCTCACAATACCATGGAAACCAATGAGTCTTGACCGGTGTTCCACAGTGGAGCATGCTTCTTCCCGATAGTGTGAATAATTTGATTGTAGCTCGTAATTTTTTGTGATAACGTACAAATTGTGACTGACAAATAGCTGTGCTTTATGTATAAAAATGTTTTCCAAGTGTTGAAATTTAATTTTACTCGAAAAAGAATCTCTGAAATTCATTCAAGAATTGGTCAAGACCAAATAGGAGAAATAATAAACACTGTTTTTTAAATGAACATTGTTTGTTTTTTATTCAATTTTTTTTTCAATAAAAAGTAATACGTACATTCTTAACTCCAACTTACAAAAAACTAATCGCATCGTCTTCATTTTGTCCCAGTTTTGCTAATGATAACTTGGACACCAATCATTAATAGGACGGACAAATTTTTGTCCGTCCGTTTAAAAATTGTCCGTTTCCGTCCGTTTGATATATTTTGTCCGTCCGTCCTAAAAATATGTCCGTCCGTCCGTCCCAAATCCCAAACGAACGGACAAAATAAAATTGTCCGTCCTGGAATTCTAAACGGACGGACAAAATGAAATTGTCCGTCCTTGAATTCTAAACGGACGGACAAAATGAATTTGTCCGTCCTGGAATTCGAAACGGACGGACAAAATGAAATTGTCCGTCCTTGAATTCTAAACGGA